TTTCTACTGATATTTTCTTTGAAAACAACACAGTTAAACTTTGATTTATACTGGCTTGGCTCACAGAATGCCAAATTTTGTGAGGTCTGATTTCCTACGGTACTAAATCTTAACTTTTGCCACCAAAGGGCACAGGTTTTTCAGCTTTTTCTATTAGAATTACATGCTTTTCCCGAGTTTGTCCTGCAAATAGTTAGCCTCTCTCTGCTTTATTTTAAAATTATTCTAGCCTTATCTTCCACATTCCACTAATTTTTGAAATGGAGGCAGCAGAGTGCAGTTGCTTAGAGCACAATCTTGGAACAAAGATAATCTTGGGTTTTACACATGGGTTTGTCATTTGCTGGTAAAGCACTTTTACTCCATTCTTTCACCAAATATTTATCAGGATACTACTATGTGCCAAATGCTGTCTGTGTTTTGTGTTAACAATACAGGTTGTTGATGGAAAAGAGGCCAAATTCTGTAAAATAATTTAAAGAGGTTTATTCTGAGCCAAGTTTGAGGACCAGGGCCTGGAACGATACCCAACAAGCCTGAACAATTGGACTCACTGTGATTGGTGTACAGTTTGGTTTTATATATACATTTCAGGGAGAGAGGAATTACACATAAAGTCACAAATCAATACATGGAAGGCATACATTGGTTTGGCCCAAAAGGTGGGGCATCTTGAAGCAGGGCCTTACAGGTTATAGGTGGGTTTAAAGATTTGTAATTGGTAAAAGAAATGAAGCTTTGTCTAAAGGCTTGGAATGTTTAAGTTAAGATAAAGAAGTCTGTTAATCAGAGACAATCCACTGGACATATTCACAGACTCAAGTGATCTATTAAGTAAACTGATGACCTGCAGATGTGGTTTAAGCTTTGTCTTACCTAGCCTTAGGCCTGCTAATGAGTTACAAAGGACATCTCCAAGAAAAGAAGGGGGCATGACAAGGATGTCTGACCTCCCTTCTCAAGGCCAGCAACTCAGCTTTAGGGTGTTTCTGGGGTCCCCTTGGCCAAATGGAGGTCCATTCAGTCAGCTGGGGAGGCTTAAGATTTTATTTTAGTTCACAAGGTAAACAAGCCTTTATGGATCTTATAATTATGAAGGAGAATATAGCGAATGGACAGCCCAGTACAGTCTGATAAGAACAATTCTAGGAGACATGGGGTAATGAGGGAACATTAAAAACAAACAAACAAACAAACAAACAAACAAACAAAAAACAGTCGAGATATAAGGGGATAAGAAAGCTTTCCCAGAAGATGTGACACTCGTGGTGAGACACAAATGACAAATGGGGGTTAGTGAAGGAAGATCTTTAAAGAGAAAGAGTATTCCAGGCAGAGGCAATGCAAATGACTAAGCTAGGAGACAGAAAGGACATGGGTTGGAAATTGAAAAGAAAAAGCAGTATACTTAGGTTAGGAGTATATGTTTGGAGGGAAGGAGGAGAAGTCGGAGAGTTAGATACAGAGAGGAAACATCGTGAGAAAACATAAAAATCATGGTAAAGAGTTTTTAATTTACCCCAACAGTGCTCAGGAGCCATGGTCATATTTTAGAAAGCTTACTGCGGTTGCACTGAGTGCAGTGGAGAGTTATGCTCTGAGAAGAACTGTTAAGAGGACATTGCAGAATTCCTGGCAAAAAACCAAAGGTGACAGAAACTTTGGTGGTGACAGTGAGAATATAGAGAAGTGGACAGATTTTTAATCTATTTAGGAAACAGGACCAAAACAAATTGGTGAACAGCTAGAGGTGATGGGTGAGAAGAAGCAAATTAGTCAATGACAAGACTCACTTTCCAGGATTAAGCAATCGATGGATGGTATCACCATTCACCTCAAGAGAAAACGCTGGGCAGAAGCATAGGGGAACTGAAGAGTGCTCTTGTGGATCTGTTGAAATCAGAGGTACCTATGGAATAAGTAGAGGCATCTAGTGTACAGTAGGATCATATGGGTCTAGAAAAGTCAAGGGGGAATGGAGGCTTGAGATATATGCTTGGGAGTTA